AAACAACCTAAATATTCATTGACAGGTGAATGAATAAAGAAAATGTCACACACACACACACACACACACACACACACACACACACACACACACACAATGGACTATTTTCCAGCCTAAAAAACATTTATGCAATATGTGACAACATGGATGAACCTTGAGGACACTACGCAAAGTGCAAAAAGGCAATCACAGAAGGGCAAATATTGCATGAGTCCACTTTACAAGGTATCTAAAATAGTCAAATTCATGGAATCAAAGAGTAGAATGGTGGTTGGCAGGGGCTAGGAAACCTGCTCAAGTGCTATTCAACTCAAGGTGTCTGGACTGTAGATGCTGACAACTTCCTTATGATGGGATGATGCATATAAGAAGAATAGGAAATTCTCTACAAGCAAAGTATATACATAAACACTTCCTCTTTGAGTTGAGAGAGGAATGCACACTAAGAAAAAATATTTAAATAAAATAGTTGGTTAATTATGCCCTGTTAACTTCTATTTTGACTTCAAAAATGGGGATAGCATAAACTTACATTCTGATATTTTTCATTAGTTTGAAACTGAGAAGAATAGAAGGGAAAAGCAAATATCCTTCATGTTTCCTCCACTTTGGACTTGGAGCCTGATTTTACAGACCAGGACTCCAAGGTTCAGACCCAGAAGAATTAAGATGAAAAGAGAGTAGTTATCCAGGCCAGATCTCTGCCATGCACTCACTCAATAGATGAGGCCAAGTCACAAGGGAACAACTTTGTCATCAGCCTAAATATTCTCTAAAAGAGAACAGAACTTTTTTTTAATGAATTCATGAAACAGAGGCATAGTGAGTCATCTGAGTAAAGGTGGGGCTATTCTCCAAAAAATGGGGGTATGTCAGCAAGGCCATTAAGAAAATTACTACAAAGAAATATAGCTGGAGTAATTGATCTGGATCACTAAGAGGGTCAAGTTGAACATATCAGTATTTTGTGATTCTATTAGTCAGTCAAAGATAAACACAGCACTTTAATCAAGGGTAATTGAATTATTGCTATAAGTCCAAGTCTTAATACCATAGCAAAATACCAGTTGAACCACAAAAATTCCCCTAAATATTTAGAACATCTTTAAAACTATTCTGTACATTAAAATGAAATTATTTTCATGTTTATTCACAAATGTCTGTCAAAGTACTTATGGGTATGGTATATACCATATATAGAGAGAGAGGCTGAAAGATAATGTATGGATATTTATAAATATAATATATGCATGATTTAGAAAAAATATATAGTCTGAAAAAATTATTTATAAAAATGCATGTACAGTCTGAAAAATTGTTTCCTCATTGTTCAACATAACAGAATTCCTTACTTTATGCTTTATAATTATGCTTATTTCAAATCTTTACAAATAGAAAACTTTACTGTAAAACAGCTTAATTTTCCTTTGTTTTTTTAATTAAAGGTGAACAATAAAAAATCCATAGGAAAAAATAAATTTTAACCAGTTCTTTTATGTACACAACATATTTACATTTGTATATCTCCTTGATAAGTTTTAGAAGCCATTCACCTATAGTGTATGTAACACAATGAAGATAAAACATGGGTTACAGATGTTATTGTAATGTGACTTTCTCTTCTATGTTTCACATTGTTTGTCTTCCTTTCTCATAATACTTGTCTAGCAATTGTTAGCTGCTAATTGTAAATTTCGAAAACTCCCAATCATCCAAATAGACATGTAGACACTGGTTTGTATTAAAATAGAATTTGTGCACTTTAGGCTTTAATAATATAAATGTATAAACATGATTGCTAATCTATTAATGTTTAAATTGTGTAGATTAATATGCTCCTGCTGTTACAACTCATGGGTGTTTTGAGAGGTAACCAAGTTGAATACACCATTCCTGCCAATGCAAGGATACTTTTATTACTGATGCTAAACCAGACTTCTCTCTAAATATAAATAACGTAATGATTTGAAAGAGTTAAAATTCTTTAAAAATGCAGTAATTAATACTATATAAATGACCTTCTAAATCCCTTTCTAAGCAAATATTTAACTGTTTATGAGATACTGGAAATCAAGATATAGAAAAACTAACCTGCAAAATGGAACAACCTCACTCTAATTTGTTGATTACAGCTCCTTCCTGATCTGTACCAACAGATTATTTTTAAAGAGCTCATCACTCATATGGGAAAAAAGCATGCATTGAAATGAAATTGTGTAGAAGAAAACCATCTTCATAAAATGAAAGAAGCACTGGCTTGCTAGAGAATGACACAGAATCTATCAGTAAAATAAAATACCTGTCTCGGAAAACAAAGATAAAAGCTGAATGCCTTCATAAAGTAAAAAAGGAGATGAAAAACCATGCTATGTTATTCAAACTCATGAGTCCTGGAAACAAAAGAAAGGTCATTGACAGATACTATACATCAGCTGTGGTGGAGGTAGTTACCCATACTGAACACTGAGGGCCAGGGAGTCAACATTGTCCTGAATGGTTTCAGTCCAAATGGCACCTGATCAGAGATCTTTCCTGGCCACCCTCTCAACTCATTCACCCAACCCGGCAGCAACATCCTCTATCCTTACACCCTGTTAATTTCCTTCAATACACTTAGAACTTTACCATTTCCCCCACTGCTCCAGGAGAGCAGAGTTCACTTCAAATTTGTTCACTGCTATATTCCCTGCATCTACCATAGCGCCTAGCCCTAGCACATAGTAGCCATGCAAAAAAAAAAGAGTTAATCAATTTATGAATGTTCTACTGCCACAGAGGAAATGCCTAGGCCTGACTGGCCCTAAAAAGATAGGGCTTAATTCCCTAAGGACAGATTCTTGATCTTTCACCTCATCATCACAGTGCTCATCTCAACTGACTTCACAGTATCACTGAACTCAACATTGTGGAAAATGTTAACAGACTTTTAACAGGATCACAAAATTAAATGCAATAGTTCTCCAAACAGAAAAAGCTGGCCTCAAATTCCAAGGAGAATCTATGATTCTGTGAGACGGGTTTTCTGTATCATGGATATGCTAAGATATTATAATGTTATGGAAAGAAACATTCCTTTACTGATGAACTTCAGGTGTTTTATACTTATTGCAGAAACAAAAAGAAAATGGGCTGCCATTTGTATTTCAAATACAGGTGTAATATTTTTAAAACTCCTATTAAGTATCTAAATCCTAATTAAATGTGATTATCAAAAAAAATCTGAAGAGAGACATGAATTAATGTACTGTCTCATTAAAATGTTTTATGCCTTTAGTAGTCAAAATTCCAACAATCCTACTTGGAATACTATGTCCTAATATATTAGTCTAGGGTAGGCCATAAGTAGTAATAATTATTATGAAATAAGACTATACTATCCACTAGGCATATAAATGTACACACACACACATAATGTCATTAGAGTCTCATAATTTCATGAGATGACTGTTTAGAGCCCTGTTTTACATTTAAGAAACTTGACTCTGATGAGTTAAAAAAGAAAAAAGAAAACTTTGTCTAAGGCCAAGTGGCTTGTAAATGGTACTTTGCAGTTAAGCATGACTCTATGGAACACACCACAATGAAATGCTTTGATCAGCCAAGCAATAGTCTAATATCAGAAAAATATATATAGCCAGAAAAAATAAGGAAGAAGAATCATCAGTCATTTTTAGATACTGAACATATAGGTTCCACAAAGCAAAAAACATAATTCCTCCACACTTTGTGCCTCAGATAGCTTTGTTAAACTCAGCCTGAAACCTATCCCATACCTCTTTTCTTTGAAAAAAAATCTTTTCTAAGTTACAGGCATCATATTTTAAAATGTGGCATTAAAAAATGTGAAAAAAGATTGTAAGTGATTTTATTATTATCAATAAAACTCCAAATCCCAAAGGTGCACTGTGGACTACCCTGTTGTTGGGAGGTTGGCTGCACACCTATTAAGGCTATTACAGCCCACAGATAACCAGTATTGTGAAGGTAGATCCTGGAAAGTGGGAACAATTCATACAACATTTAATTTATTTTCTTTGTCCTCCCAACCTGCTTGGATTGAATGTAGGGTTTTTGTTAGTTTCTTTTTTCTTTTCCTTTTTTTTTTTGGTGCCAATTTCATTGCTCTTTTAAACACATCAGCAAATAGACGCTTCATATCCTGTAACCATTATACATTCATCGAAGCAGCTTTTTCTTGAGTCCAACAAAATGGTCTTTTTTTCATTTACGATCTTACTTGTCTTGAATGAACATTGACTTTGTGTCCTTCCTAACAGATGACCATGAAGCCTGACACAGGTTGCTTAGCAACTGCCTTATACCCAGAAGTAGAAATAACTCTTTGATATACTCACTATGTGTATTTCTGCTGATTTATTTCATTTGTGTTTAACATGGTAGATCAAACAGACTCATTAGAATTCTACTAACACCCCCAAGGGTAGCAGAATTCCTGGTACACTTTAAACTAAAGTACCCAGAGATCAAAACATCTTACAAGTCATCACAGAATGGTACTGCAGAGTAAAAGAACAATAAAATACACTGTGCCCATTACCAGGGACAAGGTGCATACATTCTCATCAGTGCTAGCACCATGATATTCTTTGAGACTTGAAAAGAATTCTCAAAATTGTTATTGTAACTCTCACTTTTTGCAAAATGATAAAGGACTCTATATTTCCCATTATGTTCTTTGCTAAAACGTCTTTGATATCCTGAAGGACAATCCATTGTTCTAAAGCATGATGTAGTGTAATTCATCATGCAGCAAGAACAATACTAATCACCCCTCTTGTTTGCATCAACCATCACTCTTCGGCCCTCATCGTATCTGATCCGATCTTAACTCATTTATATTATTCGTGACTTGTTTACATAGAAAGAAGTCAACCAAATGTGCAGTGTACTATACCTCAGAACAAAAATCCATGCAGACGGGTCCTAGATCTAAAATTCAAAAATTAAGAACTTAAAAGGTGGGTTAAAGTTGAATATTTTGGCACGACGGCTCCTACCTCAGCAAGCTGCTCATCACTGGCGCCCAGCAGGACCACTCGGGCATGTACATCGGCCTGGACGCCAACACCATGGCTACAGCTTCTGCAGCCCCTTCCTCACCCTGGGGCCATACCCAAAGTCGCTAGGGCCACCCGTGGCCCCTCGTCCTCAGCCACGAGGCTACTGTGGCCCGTGCTCATCCTGGGCACCCATCCTGGGCACCGTGCTCCTGTGATTCTGCCAATCCAAGAAGAAGCCGTGCACGCCTGTCCCCGCGCCCTCTGTGCCCACACACCGCAAATCAAACACTGCACACCAAACACCTGGGACCTCCAGAGACCATGGCAGGAGCAAGGACCTGCCCCTGTCACCAGCCCTCCGGGGCTGTGTGAAGAGTTTGGGGCCCAGCGGCCCCCCAGCACCTGCTGGGCCCTAGGTCAGCTGCCGACCCCAAGCTTTACCCCAAACTCTAAATGGACATACGCGTGTGCACGCACACGCACAAGCACACACACTCACACACAGTTGCACACACTGACATCTCACAGTCACACCTACACACCTGCTTCTGTAGCTTCGCATATTTATCTTGTTAAACAAGAATATGTGCATCCTTTTTCTCTAAAAAAATTAATATTTTGATTCAAATATGTAATTAATATTAGAATATTAAAATGTAATGAATATTAAAATTTACAATATCAGTAAAAATTAGAATTTTTATTAAGGAAATCAGATTTTTATAAGCCTTCTGTTTTTAGCACAGGTTTAAAAATTTCAGAGTTCTGGAAACCTGCAAACTTTTTTATTACCAAAGTAAATAACAAGTGAAAAATCTTTTCAAATTGTAAAAAGTCAATTTAGAAACTATAAAGTTTTTAAAATAGAAATATCAAGGCAAAAAATTCACCCAGTCACAAGAAAATATTTAAGGGGCTATTTTATTTTAGACAACGATTTAAAAATCACCCAAATATTTATGAAATACAGACTAAATAAATATAGCTTGATAAATTTAACAATTATATAGTGGAATACTCTGCAGGAGTTTTTGTGTGTTTTTTTCCTTTTGTTAACGATGTAGATCTCTACTAACTGGTATGAAGTCATTCCCAAAATGAACTGCAAAGTGAATTAAATGGGGGTAGAACATTGTGCTATTATATGTTACATTTGTATTCAAAAGGGGAAGTTTCATATGTGTATGTTAGTGTAATTATATATAATATATGTATGTTATCATGTATATATGATATAATCCTATATAATAAAGAGCTAATATGCTAATGGTCATGACGCCCTCATGCTGTAATGTGTAATGACCAATCAGCAGGAGGCTGCGTGCATGGCAGGCACAGGTGGGTGGGGACTTGACCCTGTGTCCCCACTCAGTGCCGGCTGGGGACATGATGCTGTGTCCCCCATCATGGGGCTTGATGGGGGTGAGGCCGGCGGGTCTGGGTCTCGCCCAAAGGGGGTGGGGCCGGCTGGGTCTGGGTCTCTTCCCTTTTAATGTGCACGAATTTTGTGTACCAGGCCACTAGTATATGTATAATATAATATCTCCAGTATATATACATAATCTATATATATAAAACCCTAAGCCACCAGACTACAGGACAACCACAGGACCAGCCAGTAGTTATGACGTGCACTGACCACCAGGGGGCAGATGCTCAACACAGGAGCTGCCCCCTGGTGGTCAGTGCGCTCCCACAGCAGGAGGGCCACTCAGCTGACCAATGGGTACCAGACGCCAGGCTCACAGCTGATGCGCACAGCTGCTGCAGTGCGAGCCTCTCCTGAAGATACTCCCCCTGCTTGCCCCACCCACCTCCACAAGCTGGTGGGTAAGGCAGGGCTGCAGCCGCACAGAGGTCCACTGATCCCTGCAGGCCAGGCTGAAGGACCCCACTGGTGCATGAATCTGTGAACCAGGCCTCTAGTAATAACAAAATATCTCTAGAAGAATATACAAGGAACTGGTAATAATTTTTGCCTTTGAGAACTAGAAATATGGATAAGAGAAAAACTTATTTTTCACTATACATTCAGGGAAAACATTATTCCTCTTTTTGTTATGGTCATGTGAGATGTCAAAGACAGAAAGGTGTACAATTTATTTTACTTATTGACAAAGAAACAGTACATAATACATAGTGCCCACTAGATCCCAAGAAATGCATGGGTTTATCAAGAAAAACAGATTCACAGTAATAAAGCAAGGAGCCAAGGGGGAAAAAATAGATTATGTCGTTTCCAGTCCAATCTTCTCCTCACTAACCCAAATGCCAGCAAACAGAATTAATGAGATTTCAGAATATTAAAGAATAGTACTTTTCTATGAAGTATTATTTCTCTTGCAACTGAAACTTGGCTTTTCAGAACTCTAACAAAGGAGGACTTAATAAGGAATTATTCTAAATCAATGCAAAAGGTCAAAATTTATTTTCAGTGAGCTAATTATCACATGTGGCTTGACCAGGAACTGAACCGTGACCTGCTGGCTCATAGGTCGACACTCAACCATTGAGCCATGCTGGCCGGGCTCAACACTTATTCTTGAAGGATTCTACAAAGAAAACAACATAAAGACATTACCTTGGAACTTATTTTCCAGGAAATATACAGAACTTAGTTCCTTGAATCTGTGACTGGAGATGTCACTTAAAGTTAGATTTGTTCAGTTAAATGTCATCTAAGAAAAAACAAAAGAATAGTCAACCCAAATTTCTAGATTAATTTTTTGGATAAGTATGAACTTAACTTTATTCATTATCATAAGCTGTAATGATTAATCCTAATGAAAAGGAACACCCAGCATTGTAGATAGAGCACTGGACTGGTATCATTGTGACCCTAAGCAACTGATTGAATTACTTACCTAAAATTGAGAGAGGTAAGGAAAAGAAGTAGCTCCCCAGAGTGAGTCCATAGGAGTCCTGGAGCTTTTTTTCAATATTTTAAAACTATAATAGAATTAATGTATGTGCTCATAGTGAGTCTGCACTAAACAGTAGGATTTTTTTTATTTGGCTGAAATTTATCATCTCAGGATGGTATCATTGCTGAACTCATGCTGAAGAGAATAGCAGTTGTATGTGTTTCTCATTAATTTTAAATAAAAATCCAATTATAACTTTTTTTAATCCCCATCTGAGGATATTTTTTATAGAGAGTGGAAGGGGTGGGGAGAGACAAAGAAAGAGAAACATCAATGTGAGAGAGGCACATTGATTGGTTGCCTCCTGTACATACCCTAACTAGGGCCAGGGATTGAGCCTGCAACCAAGGTACATGCCCTTGACTGGGAATCAAATTCGAGCTCTATCCACTGATAGAGTTAGGGCTAAATCTAACTATAATTTAAGGAATGCTTTTGTTGGGGAAAATTAGACAAACTATTTCAAAATATTGAATCACTAGAGAAAAAATAATTCAAAGAGCTCTTGGCAATTGGGGAAAAAGGAGACATATGTAAGAAAATAAATAAAAAATTAAGAAAGAACTCTTGGCAGTATACCACAAGTTGATGATACATTTCCACTTTAAAAATCAGTTTAGCTATGCATCATTTTTAATATTTTTGAATTTTTGTATAAAATTAGATGAAAAGCAGATCAGATTTTATTTCTAAGCTGCTTTAAAGTTGCTTGACAATTTTAAATGTCTAGATTTTACTTTCTACTCACAAGAGAGTAGGTTTTTAAAAATGCTTGTACTCCAATCACTATAAACACCCTCCTTAGATTTACCTACTTACTAAATTTTTCCATAAAGGTATAAAATTCAAACAAGAGTAACTTCTGATTTAAAATACAGTTACAAATAGATTTAAAAGAAATTTGAGCCCTAGCCGATTTGGCTCAGTGGATAGAGTGTCGGCCTGTGGACTGAAGGGTCCCAGGTTCAATTCCGTTCAAATGCACTTACCTGGGTTGCAGGCTCCTTCCGGCCTGGGCCCTGGTCAGAGCTCATGCAGGAGGCAACCAATCGATGTTTCTCTCTGTCTTTCCCTGTCTTTTCCACTCTCTCTTAAAATCAATGGGAAAATATCCTCAGGTGGAGGGGGGAAAAAAAGAAATTTGGAAAAAAAAAAAAGGTCTGTAATCATACAGTGATAGGGAACAGGAGATGATAAACATTTTTACAATGTATTTACCATTATCTAATAATACTTTAGAATTCAAAAATATAAACTGATTTTAAAAATCAAAAATATCCCAAAGATCCTTTAAAATTTTCTTAACCCTATGACACTGTCAACATCTGAAGACTGTGAACTTCAGTGATTTTTGTGTGTGCATTGTTTTACAATTTCTTTAAAGATTTCACAAACATACACACCAGTTTACTTAAAACAGGATCAACACATCCTGGGAAACCTTGCCGCTTCTTTTCTTTTTTTTTACATGAATGTGTGGTATGAAACTTCCAATAGTCTAGCTTCTGTTCCTCTAAGTACAAACAAGAAATGGTAGGATTGGAACACTCTCTGCTATCAAATTAGGCAATTCATTAAGACCAAAGAAAGGAAAGACTGATTCTAGACTGTTCTCCCACTCTATCTACACAGTATAACTAGGATGGTTTTGATTAAACTAATCACCAATTACTCCAGCCCTAGTATTTCAGATGTTCTAGGTATCTTAGAATTCATCCAGTCCAAACCCTGCCCCCACAACTTACCCATAGAAATCAGAAGCCCAACAAAGGAAAGTGATCTGCTCACCAGTTAGAGCTAAATCTAGCTCTCAAGATACCTGCCCAATGTTCTTTCTTCTACCATAAGTTAGAAATAGTCTTACTAAAATGTTACCTCTTCCTATAGGTTCTTATGCCCCAGCATCTACTCACTTGTGGCCCTCACATGTGGCCTCTTCCAACGGACTGTCTGCTCAGATGAAGTTAGAGCCACATTGTCATGGGCCTCTGACGTCCTTGGTTCACATACAGACATCTTGCTTCCCTGATACATGCACTTCAGACTTCACCACAACTTTAATTCTACCTTCTCCTTCAAATGGATAACCTGGTAACCCATGGTTTTTGGCTTAAACTTGGTGATTCTTCCTAGTCTTCATTTGTTTGATTCAATCCTCCAAAAGGTAAGTGCCTATTGAGTACCTAAGCCTTTTAGCACTCTTGTAACTTCTTTATTTTGTTGGCCTCTCAAGTTACTAAACAGACCTGTATTACAGACTTCTTGAACCCAATCTTCTGTCTCAATCCTGAACAGATGGCTCCTCGGGCCTGGGCAGAACCTCTTCAGCCTGTTCAAGCTATTGCTTTTCTTGCCAGTTCCTGGCTTCTGCTGCCCTCTGGCAGCCATTAGTAGCATGGCAGAATTTGAAATAATAAAGTCATGGTTTTACTGAATTTAAATTACTCCATGTGTTGTTTCAGCAGCATGTAAGTAAAGAAATTGACATATAATTGGTGCTACTCTTCTATGATGTCCCCACACCTAGGCCTGAGTAAGAACCTGGGCTATAACAGGGCTAATGACAATGTCTGCACATGCAATAGATTCTTTTACACCTCAATTTCTTTGCCCACATTTGATGCCTTTCAAGAGTCCAATTCTTTAATCCCT